CCCAAAACCTGCACCCGAAGCCCTAAAGCCGCAAGAGCGAAGCCGAAAATTCTTTCTGGCCTCGGGTTGACATGACACGCGCCTGGTGCCTCGCATGCGGGCTCGCAGGTTTAAGCTTTGATAGGGCAAATACAGGGTTGAGGGGTTCAAGGTTTGGGGTTTAGGATTTTAAGGTTTAGGGCTTCGGCTTTATAGGGTTTGTCAAGCTCAGGTTCTAGGACGCTACTGGTACGACGGCTGTGTTGTTGAATGGTGTCCTCTCCTTTTTGCGTCCGGGGCCCCCTGTGCCTAAGTTCCCAGGCTCTTTCAGCTTCCTTCTGGCATACCCCAATCGCCTCTAGATGGGTAGTTCTCTAAATTAGGGTCCCCCTTCAGGTCCCCAATATAGTACGGCACCCTTATAAGAAGGACCCGAAAAGGGACCCTACTTTTGAGAACTGCCCAGATGGGGTTCAGGGGCTCAGATGCTTTCCCAATAACGCCCGGAACCTTTGCTGACTGTGCTAAGATGGGCACCACCTGAGGCCGTCACAGACGACTGGTGCTCGAACCTTTACACTTCCAAAACCGTGATGCCATGTGCTATATCACTTAACACTACACCAAACCGCGCCTTCGGAAAAGTTCGCCCGCATGTTGCACGGGGGCATGCAGTCATACCATGTCCCTTTGGACATCGAATTCTAACTTAGCTTAGCTATGGCAGCCTCCCCGCTCTCTGAGCGTGCCGCTACCCCATCAAAACAGGCACAGCTATCCTAGGTCCTGAATTACGTGCTTGAGCAGATGCATGACAGGCGCATGAAAGTCATGAAAATCATCAAGGGATTCTGGCTATCTCATCAGCATGAGCAGACAAAGGTATCGCTTGGGGACTTTGGGAACGTCGGACGTCGGTACTTCCTCGGCGGAACGGACAAGCGACTCCAAGCCACGCCTGTTTCGGTGCGGCTGGCGGGAGCCGCCTGCTGCGCGAGCTGCACCTCAACTGGCAGTAGCACACTCCCACATGGGAGTTTCCGAAAATACGGGGTACCTTATTTTGGGGTCCTTATAATAATAACTATCCTACTATTTAGGGTACTATATTAGGGTCCCCTATTTTCGGAAACTCCCACGTGGACCTGAAAGCCGCACCCTAAACCCCGGTCAAACCGGACTCTGACAGCCTTGTCAAGGGGCAGAGGATTGCTCTGCCCGAACCACATCACAACACCAAAGCGCTGAGGCCAGAAAATCCTTGAACCCTGCGACATTCAGGCTCCCCGGTTGGCTTTTGATGCTTTGAACCTTAGGGGGTCGGTACATGGTATGACGGCTTGGGGCATAAGATGGTATAAGGTCTGCCGGTTTAGGGGGTTCGCCGCGGAGGCTCGCAAGTCTGTGCGTTTAGACTGCCCGGGTGTTTAGGCCCCTGGATGTTACGGCCTCGGTTAATCAATTCAAGAACTCCTTAGGAAGATCCTTACAGAGGCTTTTATATATGGGCGGTTCTCTAAGACAGGCTCCCCAATATAGTGCGACGCCCTTATAATAAGGACCCTAAATGGGACCCTAATTTAGAAAAATCTGCCCATAGAGACTCGAATACAGACTTGGGGCTCTTGGCTTCGAGTCCCCGGCCGCTTGGAAGATAAACGTGGAGCTCCCCGTGCTTTCGGCGACTGTGATCTTGACCTCCCCAACAAGACTGGGCTCCCAGGGGGCTCTGCAAAACACTGTATTTTTGGTCTCCTATAGAGAGTGCCTAGTGATGTATGCGCATGTCCCTCAGGATCATACTTGTGCAGACCAATGCATCAGTGCCTGTCACTGCACTACATATACACACACACACACACTATCTGTGACAGGCTGCTGTTTCGGGAGGGAGATGCGGGGAAACCATTGCGCAAGTCGCCATCTTGGCAGTTTTAACAGTCACGGAACACCTGAACCACGAAAGCTCAGGCAGGGTCAATCCGAATTTAGGCCTCCTTTAAGCTAGCTGTTTCGAGGACCGTTGGTCATAAACCAACTCCACCTGGCATCACAATGAACAGGCCTACTTGTTGGAGTCAGCCGCTCTTGGGTCTTGGGCCCTCGGGCTTAAGTTTCATTCCACAAAGCTCTAAACCCTATATCCTCAACCCCATTCCTAAAAAGCAGAAGGTCCTACAGCAGTGACCCCTGACCGTAGCTCGCTGAAGCAGGTAGGTGCAGTCTTAGCCCAAACTCGCCGACTCATTCTGAACTCCTGCACGACGAAACTCCTGAACCTCCGCCCTTCAACAACCTTCTCATGGACTGCCCTAACGCAGAAGGGTGCCTGTTGGCACGCAGCGATAAGCACCTTGGGTTCAACTCAAAGCTCCCAAAGCCATAGCAAATGGCCCCGGCTCCCGATCTTCTGCGTATGAGCATCGGATCCGAAGTCTCGATCCTACATTATGGTCTCCATTGTGGTTCCTTTTAGGGTTACCTTAGTTGTTGGTTAAACCAAAAAAAGGAACTACCATGGAGACTATAGGTATGTTCCGGGTTCATCTGGAATTTACAACCCGGGAAAGTCACGAACAAAGCTGGGCGTTGCCAACCACTGGGAACCCTAAGCCCAAAACACGATCGAAAGAATCTCGGGCTGAACCCTTAGACACCACAACCTCTACACTTTGAAGCAGAAAAGCATCTAGGCATCTTCGGTTAACAACGGCCAAACATCATGCGCCATGAATCGGCCGAACGAAGGTCCGTAGGAAACAAAGCAGGAACGAGCCCTAACCCGGGTCCTGAGGAGTTTAAGGTAGGCTTAAGGGATGCATTTCTGTTATCGGCAATCAGCCAAGGCATGTCTGTTCGGAGGTCTGATCCTGAGCCCGAATATCCTCTGACAACTCTGAAAGCATGCGCGTTCACCATTTTCGGACTTCCGCTGAGCTGTGGCACGTCTGGACAGCTGGAACAGGCCTCGAATCTATACTTATTATAACTAGGCTGTATACAGTATGAAAAAGCCTGTACCGTTTCGCCGACCAGTCCTGTGATGCACAGGCTCTGCCCTTGAAACTCGACGTTGTGCGAGCCGCGTGTCTGCATTGACATACAAGCCGAGTGAGGGTTTCCGGAAAACAGGCTGTCGTCAATTTTGGTTGGAAGCCCTTCTTTCGCGCTTGGTAGATGGAGTCCTTCGCAGTGGTAATAGTGGTCACGCCGTCGTACTGCTGCACTACCGCCTGCTACCGCTACTGCTACCGCCACCGCCACCGCTGTTGCTGTGGTCGTTCTCCTTCGCCGGGCACTAGGCCCAAACAGTAGCGGTCTATCTATATATATATAGAGAGAGAGAGAGAGAGAGAGAGAGGGCTACTACTAAGTGTCTTTTATATGTGTATATATATACATATATATATATATTATACTAGGACTAAGCTACTCATGTCCGGAAAACCGCACACCTGTAGGCCGGCAGCTCGGGCAGGTTCGGGTTGAGGCTCTGCAAGGTCAAGAATACTGCTCCGTGGCTCAGGGGAGTTAAAACAAGCAGAATTACAAGCACCTTGATGGGCGGGCAGGTTAGACTTACAACCAAGTAGTTGTATGATGAACTTGCTTATGACCCTACTTTATCAGCCTCCTGACTGATGCGCTGTGCCATAGCGCCTTCTGTGAGTATTATATCTATCTGGAGATCGAAAGCAGAACCAGGAATGGCAATTTGCTGCTTCAGTGCTCTGCGAATTCTAGAGGTGGAGTGTGGGTTTCCCAATGGCCTTCCCTTGCCCATTGCCCTCTATGCATAGAAATTGCGGCCTCAGTGGGCCTTGGGCCGCTCACGGTGGCGCCAGGACCGCAACCCTCGGCAAAGAAACATCTCATCCCATTTACAGTATGATTCTTTTTTTTGGCGGAGGGGGCTCTTACGGGTAAGCTTGCTCCAGGCTTCAATGGTTTCTGAAGTAGTGCTGTGAATGGGGGGGACACATACACTTCTGAATCACTGTTTGCCTGTATCCTAAGCAACTGATCCGTGTTCTTATGGCAACTCTAGCACATCATGCAATCGAGGGTGCAACACCTTCTTGCCGCGAAGTGCTCAAGACCAGATGCAAACACACCGATCAGTCGGAAGTTAGGTCAACAGTCCGAGAATCAGCGATGCTTTTCCCAAGGCTCTCCTCACAGAACCCGAATCTGCAACTTCACCCCCGGATCTGCCCCAAACCCTAAACCTGGCATCATGAATCCTGACAGCCTCTGGGTCCCTCGGTTTCAGAACCCCCCCGAACGTCAACTGCGCCGGTTTTTGTGGAGAGCTGGATCTCCAAAAGGCATGCGAGCCCGATCTCCTCGGCAGTAGCCCGGGGTTCTTCGCAGACCCCTGAGATTTACCAACCATCATTAGGCAGGGGGCCGGTGCTCATCGTTGTTGGAGATGGCAATGTGTCCAGTTTCCTGCATCTTTCTTGCCGTTGAAGGCCAAGTTCGACGGAGACCCTGGTAGTTGTGCCTACTACTCGTCTTCATGCTACAACCTCTAGAAGCTAGTGTTTCAGCTAATCTGTGACTATAAAGACATGGACGATACGCTGTGAAAGGTTAACACAACAGCAGTGCGCTGCAAGGCCCACCTGGCGTCCTCTGACTAAACCCTGCGCTCCCGCTCGAAGTGGCTGTAAACGTGAAGTAGACATCACGAGAGAAAGCATCGATGATTCTATTTACTGGTTTTAGTACTGACCAGCGCAAAGACAAGCAAGTTGTTCAATCATGGGTTGTTGACAAGTACCATTTAACAGCACTGCGCAGTAGTCTTGGCACAAGCCATTATCAAATTGAAACTGGATAATGGCCGTGCAATTAGCCCGGATAGGAACACTGCTTTGTAAGAGGGGGTTGATACTGCATCATTTGCAGGAGCAAAATAATTACAATGAATGTCGCAATCAAAAGCTATCATAGAGACAACGGGAGACATAACAGGATGAGACTAAGTTTTGGCGTGCTGGCTGCCACCGAGCTGCATGATTGCACGAGAGGTAGCTGAAGGTGTTGCCTTTGTCCTGCACCGAGCGGGTAACATATAAAGCAGAGGCTTGTACCTCAATTGTTTTGACACGCGGCCGTGCTCTTCGAAGTTCGTTGGCATTAAGCAGGCTGGCAGAGAAATCTGCTCTCGTCAAGAAAGCTTCGTGGCAACTGAGCGTCAAGATGATAGCCACCAGACTTCGACAAAGAACCAAGCAGAACACTTACACACATATCGACCAGCCTGGCAATGCACAACATGACGACAAAGAACCAGCAGAAATCCTACCGACCACAGGCGAGCTGTCTTGGCTCCATCTGCAAGATGGTGTTTAGCCACAAGAACTGATATAAACTGGCTCTCCTGCTCCTCCTTCTAGGCTATATCAGCACCACTACTTGCCGTGCTGTGTCGTCGTCGTGGTTGCGGCATCAGATCCGAAACCCTAAACCCTAAACCCCCCTACACCCTAAACCCGAAACCCTACAGGGCCTTGAAGAAACCCTGCATGACGCTGGCCACGAGGGTTCCATCCTCTGCATTGCCACATGCTAGCTGCTACTGGTGATAATAATAACAGTAGCAATGATAGTAATTGCATTAGTAATGATAGTGATAATATCAGTTGCAACAAAAATCAGAGTAGTAAACTTTTAAGGGCTCAGGGTTCGAAGAAGCGAGTTTGGGCTGACCGGGCGCTTCTGAGAGTTGGGATGTCCATGTAGCATTGGACCTCTTTCTGAAGTAGAAGCTCCCGGCGCGGCAGCGCTAGGCTGCATCATGTGTTGAATGACCGTTTGGCGTCACGTGTCACAAGGAGCCCTGGTTACGTTCTCAATGGCTGGGGGCTGGAACGCCTGAGTATCACTCGGTGATTCTGGATGCCTCTTTAACACAATCTTCATTTGCCTGGGCCCTGAGCCCTCAAGTTTCTGAAGGGCCGAAACATGCATTTCTCCCGGGGTGTCCTGGCGATACACGGCTACCCTCTCGTTCTGGGTGTCCATGACAAGCAGGTTGCCTCTGGGAAGCAGAGATGCTTGGATCATCATCACCCCAAGCTCCCGAGCCGTGAACCCTCGGCTCAAAGAAAGGCCTCGCAAGGTCTCGAAACCCCCAAAGTCCCCGTACCCCCACGCAAAAAACCAATACGCTCCTTCCGAGACGAAGTTGAATTCTTGTCCCTAGCGTCGGCTCATATGACCCCCTTCATACGGCACCCCACCAGACCTCACAGAAGATAAAGCCGCTATGCATTTACCTATTGTATACGCTCTGTGCATACACACATAAACACTCATGTCTGTAGAAAGATAAATGTTGCACACACGCGTGTGTATATATATATATATGTGTGTGTATATATATATGTACGTATATATACACATACAGACATGAAAGGGTGTGTGTGCACATATGGTCGGCCCCCCCCCCCTCACGTTGACAAACCATGCCCTTTAATCAGGCATGATCTGTTAACAAATGGGTGACAATCACTTCTTCTAAAAGAATTCCGAAATTTCCAACGTTCCTCGCCCTGGCTTTCCAGAATTCCCAAAATTCCAAAATTTCTAAGTTTCCAAAGAAACATCCAAAAATCCTCCCCCTAACTTTCCAAGAAGTTCACCATCATTTTTATACCTTTTGGATGTTTTTGCATTTTTGGAAAATTAGGGATAGGAATTTTGGGAAATTTGGAACTGTTGAAATTTCTATTTGAGTTTGGAATTTGTAAACTTATATGCAATTTTTGGAGCTCTCTACACGTTCATGCAACGCTCCTAAACCTAATCTTAGTCTTGGACTTAGTCTTCATCATAGTCTTGACTCAGCCTGGTCTCACCTCTAATCTTAGTACCACTGTTATTGCTTGTAATTTATGCTCTTAGAACTAGTATTAATGTCAATATTGGTATTAGTTTTGTGGCAGTATTGGTATTCGTATGCATATGACTCTGGTAGTAGCATCAGTATTTAGTATTGGTAAAAGTATTAGTATCAAAAACAATGAATATATAATTGGCGTTAGTGTTCGTGTAAGTTTTAGTGCCACTGTCAACGTTAGTATTAGTATTAATACTAGTGTTAGTATCAGTATCCGTCTGAATGGTGCTTTTCATATCAGTTTCAATATTCGCAGAAGCACTAGTATAAGTATTAATGTTTGAACAAGAGTTCATACGTTGATATACCAATAGACTCGCATATTAACAGATCCATATACCAATACACTAATATATCTGTATATGTATAATAGTATAATAGTATATCACTGTATACTTATATACTAGTATACTTTTTTTCTAGTTCTTGGTGCATGAGTACATTAGTATATTGCTAAACTAGCATATGGCATATTAGTATATATTCTTATATCAATACATTAGCATATTGGTATACTAATAATATGTGTATACGACTATATTCATATATTGATCTAATTTGTCATAAGTATATCAATACATTAGTACATTAGTATATGAATGTATTGGTATATTCATATTTTTTTATATAGTAGTATGTTAGCATATTGGTATCAGGGTATGTGAAAGATAAAAATACTACTATTTCAGTACATGAATGCGCTGATATATTTGTATTTTCATATAACGGTATGTGTTATATACATGAGTATATTCAGGTATGTATTAGTAGTGGTATTACTATACAAATTATAATCAGTATGAACATGATTATTGGCATTCGTAGGCGTATTAGTGTTAATTGTTGGTGATAATATTCGTATTCGTGTTGTCGTATTCGTATCAGCCTTAATGTAAATGTTAATAGTCGTATGAGTACTTGTATTAGCTTGAATATTGAAAAAGCTATCAATGTCAGTATGAGTATGGGTAATAGAGTGTCATTAGCAGCCATGAGAGTATGCCTATTAGTATTCATAGGAGCAGTTATATTTACATTCATGTTGGTATTAGTGTAAATATTGCCATTTTTTCATAACAGCATTAGCATTAATGTTCATGCTAATATGCTGATTCGTATTCGCAGGAATATATGTATTAGTATTACCCTTGGGCTTCGTTTCAGTATTAGTAGTAACCTTCATAGAGATATGAATATTAGTTCTAGTACCACTGTGACTACGAGTAGTAGTGCTCGCAGGAGTATTAGTATTCAGTTCAATACCAATAATAGTATCATGATTAGCACAAGCTTTCAGACTTGTGTTACTATTAATGAAAATCTGAGCATTAATCGTCGTAGAGATATGCCAACGGGGGGTGGGCGCATATATATATATATACATATATTAGATCATACATATCTATGTATTTATGTATGTATGTACATATGTATACATGTAAGTATATGCAAGCATTGGTCCATATTTGTTTTTTGCGATGAAAAAACAGTTTCACGTACATACATAAATACATACATACATACAGACATGCATGCACGCAGACATACATACGGACATACATATTTCAGCACTCGCACTCGAAGCTCAGGCGAGGGGTAGGGAGGCAGCAAGACACCAGTAACTCATCACGAGCTGCACAATTCAGAATTCAGCACTTTGGCCAAGGTTCAACATACATACATACATACATACATACATACATACATACACAACTGCATAGACACGAATGCCGACTTCTCTCTGTGACAAGCTGTCTGCATCCCAAGCCTGCCGCGTCGACGGCGACGTCGTTCGGCTTCCGCAGGGCTCCCGGAGCGGCTTTGGACCGCCAAGTCTGGTTGTAGAGTTGGGCTCTTAGGGTGCAGAGCTAAGCCTTTGGGGTGTAGAGTTAGGCTTGTAAGGTGTAGAGTTAAGCTTGTAGGGTTTAGGTTTTTCGGGTCTAGGGTTTAGCCCGCCGCCCAAGCGTCTTGCCACGCTTGCACGTGTGCTTCATGTCTTGCGTTTTCCAGCAGATTCGGCTTGTCCGGATTGCAATTCGCGCGCGCTCTCAGCATTTTCGGCTTCTGCACGCTCGCCGAATCCGTAACGTTCCCACAAACTCCATCCGTTCCCACAGAGCATCCATGTACCAACCATGATAACGTTCCCACAAACTCCATCCGTTCCCACAGAGCATCCATGGGCCAACCATGACAAACCTCGTTCACCTCCGGCCCCAAAGCAGTGCAACCCCAAACATTGACAGCCGTAGTGGCCCCAAAACTCTTTCATTCAAGGCTTTCCTCTAACATGTATTTTTTGTTAAAAAACACGTTGGAAAAGCTGCCTCCTGAGCCATGACCAAAGCACTTTCGTACTGTAAATGCCTATAGATTCGTGTGTTACGGCTCCATGTTTATTCTTGAGCTGCGGCGTAACGTCCGGGCGTAGCGGGGTTTAGGCATTTAGGATGCAGGGTTTAGTCTTTTGGGGTGTAGGGTTGGGGGCACGAAAAGGAAACTAGTGGGCTTGGTGTACATCACTGTTGAATGGCTTAAGGCTTGAAGGGTTTTGGCAAACTCTCCGGATGCTGGGGCGGATTTGTTGGAAAATTGCTCTCAGTACTCATGACGGAGTTGAAGGGCTTTGCTGTTTGAAGTCCCATCAGGCATAGGCCCGAGATGAAAGGGTTCTGCGCGAAAGGGGTCAGTTTTGGCCTCGGGCGTTTGTCTTTCAACCTCAAGAAGGGGCCGAGTTACTTGTCAAAAATGCTCCAGCCGCACTTGGTGCTGATACTGCAAGATTCAGGACTTATCCATGACGGTTCTGAGTGTGGATATGCCAATTGTTGCAACTGCATTGCTACGATCAAGAAATGCACGTCGGCCTCGAAAACCTGGTAGGTAACTTTCAAGCTCCAAAATCCCAAAAGCTTCGCTTCAATCCTTGAAATTATCGAAACCCTTGCGGAATTGCGTATAGAAAGTCTTAGAAAGGCTGTCGAAGGGCCTCGGGATCTGGGACCTGGCCATGGAAATCCAGGCTCTCCACATCCAAGAGCAGCACGCGGTGCTAGGCGGCCCGTTTCAGGGTTTACGGTTACAGGGTTTCGACTCAAACACTCGCAAAGCAGGCATGGCAGGTACGGTCCGAGCTTGCTACATGGACATGACAGATGTCGGGCCCCAGGGTAAACAGCACAAAGCTAAATACCCAAACGGTATACAGAAAACCAGGCTCAGCGGTGCCCAACTTGTCATGTACGTAGTCCCACTGCGGTTACAGGGCTTCGGATCTTTACATCTGATCTTGGTTTCTAGTTTTCCCTGGTCTTTTTTTGGAAGCGGGGGGCTCATGGCTGATTTTTTGCCTCCTGCTTGGATACATGACATCGGTAGTGGCTGCTGCTTTTTGGCATTTTGGTCTACATAGGTTGATCACCCCACCAAGCAAGAAATCAAGCGCTGACAGCCCGCTGCTTCGAGGCCGGAAGTTTATAATTGCCACATGTGGTCTCCCCCACGCCGTTTGTTTGAAACCTTCTCTCCGACATGACTCGAACTGATGCATATCGGGAAACATTCGTGATGCAAATGAGCAATGCGGCTTCAACAAGTTCTGGCTGAACACCACTACTGACAGCAATCGAAGGAATCATGGGAAGTCATAGCGAGCAGTTTCCGTACACTTAGACGTCCTCGAGCCCACATTGCCTTCACAGTTAAAACTACTTTTGGTTGGGATACAGTCTCATGGTATACGGGCTATGTTTACAATATGGGGATATTGGACACCCTTCACCAACGAGCCTGTCTTCCTTCTTCGTTTACGGCCAGCGCCCCTCAAAGGGTTTAGGGTCGGAACAAAACCTGAAAGCCCAAATGCACAGAAAAAAACCTAAGACTTAACCTTAAAACCAAAGCCCTAAATCTTCAAACCTTAGGGCGAAAACCCTCTAGTTCTGCTTCTCCAGCTTTAAGCTACGGCAGGTTGCCAGCCCGCGGTCGGCAATCGCCAGGATGCGATCCTGATCCATCAAGGGTCCAAATCTGTAGAAGACTCCAAACGGTTGTTTGACTCTGGTACTCGGACAATTCAGGCAAGGTTCTTATTCAGTATATACGGTTTAGGGCCTAGCTGTGTATTGAGGCTGTTGGGTTTAAGCTGTTTTTGTGCTTCCTGCTTTGCTTGGCCAGGTCCATAGAGTCTCGGGTTGAAGCTCAAAAAGCAAGGAGAGTGGGCCTGGGTTCAACGCATCCGTCTAACTACTGAGTCTACTGTGCCAGGTATGCTCGGATCACCAACCCAGCTGTGAAGCAGATCCGACAACGCCGTGAAAAGAGTTACAGGGCGTGGAGCAACCCTTGAATAGACGCCCTTCAACCCTAAACCGAATTGATTCTGCCCCACCCCAGTTTCTGCGTTTGACGTCAACACTGGCCTCGATCACTGCCATGCCACTCGGCTCTTGCAGCTCCCAGTGTGATCCTCAGTATTAGTGCACAACATATATATATATATGCATACTAACAACATGAATACACACACATACATGTATTTATCAGAGTCCTAAGTCCAAGCCCTTCTTCGCCTCTTTGTGCTCACTGCCCACCAGCTGAAAAAACAAAGGGGATTGAGAGCAATGGTCTCCGCTGCAGAGATCCTGCCGGTCTGGAAACCAAGGCTGGGGAATCGTAGGGAACAATTAACCCCAAACTGAGTCTTTTTCTGGCCGGTTCGGCCGGTGTAACTGCAAAGCCTGAACTCCCAAAAGCTGCCGCTTCCGAAGGCCTTTCTTTACACCGCCGACAAAACAAGCCTGCTCAGGGGCAGCCTGACTATCAAATGCCTTGCAGGCTTCAATGTCTAGAAGGTCCTGTCTGGTGCAACTCCGAGCTGCCACCTTTCCGCTGCTGCAGATGGCTTCCGTCGCGCAAGCTGAACCTCCACACCAGCCGGTCTTCACGTGAGGACATCATCAGCATCGGCGCCGGTCGGCATCATCAGCATCAGGGCCCTTGAGCGTCACCACCAGCAGCCAGCCCTTGGGCGAAGGCATGATCAACATGAGAGCCGGCCCTCGCGTCAGCATCATGAGCATCAGCCAACCTTCGTGTGAGAGCATCATCAGCATCAGCCGACCCTCCCGCGAAAGCATCATCAACATGAGCCGATCCTCACGCGAGAGCATCAGCAGGCCCTCGCGGGCATCATCAGCATCACCCGTCCCTGGCACGAGCATCACCAGCATCAGCCGGCCCTCGTGCAAGGGCATCATCAGCATCACCCAGCCCTCGCACGAGCATGTGAGAGCATCATCAGCATCAGCCCTCGCGCCAGGGCAGCATCAGCATCAGCCGACTCCCGCGCGAGAGCATCATCAGCATCAGCCCTCGAGCGAGGGCATCATCAGCATCAGCCGACCCTCGCGCGAGGCCGTCATCAGCATCAGCAAGGGCAGCATCAGCATCAGCCAACTCCTCCAAAAACGCAGAAACCCCTACTCCTTCAGCTTGAGCTAAGCGGCTGGTGGAGCATCGAATTTCTAGAGCAGCTCACGAAAACCTCGGCTTCTTACGGTGAAGATGAACATGTGCCCTTGCCGGGATATCTGGTAATATACGGTCTAGGGTATAGGCACGCAGATGAAACACATCCTCTCCAAGGGGATATCTGATGTTATAGGGTGGTTTGTGGCCTCGGGTTTGAGCTTGGGGGGTTCTCGGACACCCCAGGCGAGGCTGTTCAGCTCGAAAGATAACGGCTGTCTCTGTGTGAGGTGAAGCCGAATCTGCCACAAGCAGCTAAACTCCAACAGCCTACCGACGGGCACGTCTCGTGATGCACGGCCAGGGGGTAAGGTTGCCACACAGTCAACCTGCAGAGCAAGGCGTCGTAGTAGACAGATGCTGGCGGCAGGCGCCCACCATGGGCTTATCAAGTCCCTCACATGTGAACCACCATGCCAGAAACACGGTCACGAAACGGGCATTCGTGAATTTTGGGGGCGAGACTCCCATGGGGAGGGTTCATACCAGCAAATTCCATCTAATTCCATGCCAGTGAACTCCCTTGCTAAAGGGAAAGACCATTTTGCCTCAAGAACAGAACCAGCCGGTATGCTGTCCTCCTAAAGAAGAAGCCTCGGTCTGAAACAACTTCACAAATTCCTTGCTTCAAGAACCATCTCGCAGTCTAAAGGCTCAAATCAGATCCATGAAGCTGTGGACCGAAGCCGCCCAGCCCAGCATGCAAGCCAGTGCGCAACACTGTGCAACAGCTTGCAGAATCATGAGCCCCGAAAGGTCTAGCGGTGGCCCAAACCCGAAGCCATGAACCAAAGCGGAGGCACCCGCTCTCCAACCACGGCGAGGCCGGACGGATGAAAGCCGAACGAGGGGGGACGCAACCTGGGAATGGACGAGCATTGCAGTTGGTCGGTGGCTGTGGGCTTGTGGGGAATGAGACATTACAGGGCTTCAAAAGGGACGCGTTGGGTGAATTCGGTGCTTCGGAAGGGCCGGAGTGTGGAGGGAGCGGGAGTTTTGATGGTGGTTTGGGATTAGGTCTTCTGTCGGCTTGAGACCAGGCGAGTCGAACGGTTCGCAAGTCGGCAACAAGGAGGTGGAGAGGTATTGAGGATTCGCATCTTACCTGTTCGAAAATACCTGGCGAAGCATGCCCATAGCTTGAGGGTTGTGGAAGTTGAGGTTTCATTTAAGCCGAGCAGGGTTACAAGCACGGCAACTAAGGTACTCATATCCTCAGTCCCTTGATCCTCTGAGTAGGGTTTGGGGTCGGGGTGTGGTTTAGATTAGGTGACTCTCGACGAGGCGACGACAACAAGCGCCTCCAAAACAGGCCAACCACTGCTTCGGGTCCAGGATCAACTTTTCAGCCAATTTTCCAGCCAATGTTGTATATCCGAGACTAAACATAAAACCGTAAGCCCTAAACCCCGCAAAAACTGCAAACCCTTCTGACCCGTCAAGCCCCGAAACCTCTGAGCTACGACAAGTCGAAGAAGACTCTTGAATGTCCGGTACAAGCACCTGCACTAACTAGTCAGAATGATGCTACTGGAATAGCGGATACTACTGGTCACCAACCACCCGAACACCACCACGCCCTAAACCCGGAAAACTTTTGAACCCTTGTAACACCCCGGAACCTAACAGACACCTCGGCCAGCATATGAAAAAAAGGTTCTCTCTTCCAAAAAAAAACAACGACTCCCAAAAAATGCCGAGCGAACCTCACGATAACCCCGAGCCCCCCACGGCGGGCCCTTCGGGCTGTAGTCGTCAGGGCTCAGCAACTGTACCTGAAGGATCCCATTCGGGCGTTGAGCCCAAGGGTTCTGTGAGGGTTCTTGAACATTTATGCCTTGGGGCTTTAAGTGGTTCAGGCTCTAAAGCGGTTTAGCCTCTCGCAACTCGGGGCAATGCAGGCGAGGTTGGCCCATAGCTTTTCTTCTCCAAGGCCCCACTGTATGGGACAGGCAGAAACCTGACCCAAAGCCTTAGCAATTATCCAGTCAGCACACACGCTGACCGCCAGTTTTGCGGAGATGCGATGTTCGGCCGCATCGTCGCAGACCATAACACAACTTGGCAAAAAAGCTGGGTTAAGAAGAGATTTGGTTGGCCATGATTAGGCCATAGCCACAGAGTGGAACACTAGCACGATCCGTTGTATAATAAAGACAAGCTATGAAGAACTGATGAGAAACCTGCTGCATCAACACCATCCAACCTGTGGCTATGCAATTATTCGGATGTCATAGAGGTACCTCAGCGCACCTCCACCGGAGCCGTCGATACTTATCGGTTCATCGTACCAGAACGAATCCGGCGAGTGGCAGGGAAATGCCTAAAGTTATGTAGAGTCTTCCCGGCAGACGCGGCTGCCGCAGAGCAAAGGTACGTGTAAGCAACTTGGCATGCTCACTGCAACCCGACTTAAATCATGCAACACTGACGCTGGAAATAGCCTTCGGCTATTGCTCCTTGCTGTACAACGAGCACGTTGTGTGCTGCAGCTCGTCTGAGTGTAACTGAAGTCTTGTGTAGAGGTGCTGCCCTCCTATGACACGAAGAACGGAGGGACACTAGCACCCCTGGCTGGCAAAACGATATGGATCTGGGAAGCATCGGCACTGCGAGAAATAACATCCTCATGTGTGTGTGTGGCTATCGTTGCAATAGGTACTAGAAACAAACGGGCGTGGCGAAGCTTCCACGGTATCAACAGCGACTCTCTGCATCTACATGATGGCACAACGAGAGGAACAAAACAGGACTCGCTCATTTGGCTGGAAACGGGTGCACTTCTAAGAACCTAAACGTCTAAAGCCGCAGCCCTGCAGTCTGCATCGGCGAATGACTCTGTCGATGTCTGCACAGCCCGAATCCAGCAATGCGATTATGCTGTGGCCAGAAATCTCCGAACAAAAGCTCTCTAGATTTGGACTCATACATTTCAAAATACAATGACGCCACACTAGAAAAACATCAATGCACTCGAGGTGTGGCTCCGACTACCGCCTTCGTCTGGTGCTCTGGCAACTGTTCGTGAGTTCATGGGTGCTTTACCATTCCCCCACTGTCCTCGGATGGCTGCGGGTCGCAGACAAAACAAGACCAAAACTAAAAGGCCCCAGCTGCCATCAAAAATGAGGCCCTGCCATTCTCTTCAAAAAATGCAGGGCTGCGACACAAGGTCAGGTGCTCTGGTGTTTAAACAGCTGTTTATGTATCGCTTTCATCGTAATCTTAGCACATGGTAGCAAATTCACTAAGTCCCACATTCCTTGCATGTAGTTCGCGAGCAATGTTTTTCACTGAGCGCACGCACCCGGCCAGTTGGCTCTGCCAGATAGACTTATCCTCATGGCCTTGCAGCCAAAAGCACGTCCGTTGGAGAAGCCGACGAGCCAGGGCGAGCGAGTTGTCCGAGCCGCGCATTTACGGTTTGCTCAGAGCTGGATGATATGTTTCCTGCGATGCTCCCCGGTAGAGGCGCTGCTTTTGGTGCTTGCACCGGACTTGCTGCTGTTGCTGGAGATCATCGGGCTCTCCTGCCGAGCGATGTGGAGCTCCGTAAGGGTCCTTTTCCTATCGATGAAGTCGCTGAACTCCTTGGGATTCTCCTCAACTGCAGCCATGAACACGCAGAGCTTTCGATGGTGCGAGTCGGCCTTGCTGCATGCCATGGCTCAAAGCAGCCAAGATGGGATCCGAGTGCCGCAGCACAATATTCCAGCAGAGCAACTCTAAACTCGGAACTAAGAAGAACCTTGAGCCGCAGCCATTGAGTAACCACGGCTACAAGACCAAGTGTCATGTCGGGTGTTAATCATTAAAAAGGGGGGTTGCGCGCATGTTGCAGCATTACAACAATAACAATAACATCGAGTTAAAAATACCAACTAAATAAGCAAAAACAAACATAAATACTAATACTAAGAATAATAAGGTGCCAAGAAGTTAACGATTAAAGACTCGTTGGTACTTACTGAGGCTTTTATATGAGGCTGGACTGGACTAGTTTGTTCCCATACCATGACATTGAGGGAGCTACTCAGCCATTCCGTCTTGGCATTCAAAGCATGCCCCAGTGTGCGAAACCAACCACGGAAGCACTCACGCCTGACGATACCCTGACCTTACGCAAACTACTGCCACTGGCCAGCCCAAATCGAAACGAAGAACTAGGCAATCAATCGTGTTTCCGATTTAGATGGGCATCTGGAGGAAAAAGGATTGCAAGTTCAAAGCTGGCGCCTTCCAAAATCCGCTTTCGGTCCAGTCTTACTTCCACCCTAGGGGAAACTACCAAGAGAGTACTTGCACCCAACACGGTTTCTCCATGTCACATAGCCGCTCCGGAATGCCACCACGAGCTCGCCACCTCGCTGGGGCCAGCAACCCACCCGCTGAAGCCCCAGGTCATTGAAGCCATCTCAAACTCTTCTCTCATGTTGGGCGTACAGGGCGTTTGGGGTTCGGTATTTTCCTTTATTAGGCTTAAGTCGTTGGGGTTGAGCTTTGAAAGGGATCCCACCTTCTCCCGACTAGGGACCTTGAAGACCCCGGAACAAGATTTGGAAATGTCCCTTTCTGGCTGTTGGCCCTTGGCCTTGCAATGAAGTGCACGGCAAAGGCCACGAAAAATGGTAGCTGGGGTTTAAGCTTAGGAACTTCCAGCCTAGGGAGCATGTCTAGCAAAGCGATGCCAGTCACAAGCGGAGCTTAAAAGTGCTGAGATTAAACCTCTTGACTCTGGTTCTTATTACGAAGCATGGCGAGGCAGCAGGCGATTATGACGAGGGCGCTGTCGCTCTGATGTACTATCGTCTTCGTCACTCACTACTCAGAATGACATAGTGATGTTTGCATTTCTCTTGCTCTATCCTCTGAATTTCGGTGCTCATTCAGGTAGGTCGGGGGGGGGGGGAGGGGCATGAAGTCAAAGACTGCAGATATGGCGTTTTGCGTGTGTCCTTGGCTTAGGGAGAAGAGGCTCAGAGTTTGGGGCCTATCGGGTTCAATTTCAAGCGCAGGTTCTTCGGCGGATCCCGAAACAGGCATCCAGGATAAATACAATCCGGATATCCTGAGCTTCACAACACAGAGAACAACTTCGACATCGACTTCGTGACCTTTGTTGCATAGTCTGGATTTGGATTTCAGACACAATGCCAACAAGCAGCCAGGGCTGAAGCAGATCTGGCTGGGCTCGCTGCCTCCTCCCATCTGGCCCTGCGCCGCTGATGTGTTCGTTGGCTAAGGCCCTAAGGCTCACGTTCATTTAGGGTAGTATAAATTGTCGGAAGACCTCTCATGGGACGGACTGTCTGGGCATAAGGTGTTCGGAGCCAGACTTGAGGTTCAAGACCGCTCTGAAACAGACTGTCTTGGCCTTGGCTACACAGGAAGCTGCAAGGCAGAGGAAGCACATTCAGGAGTTCCGCGGCAGCGTACTCCAAGCTCACATCGACCATTAATCATTAACCGTCTGGAGGAGGCATTAATCCCACCGGGTCCTTGTAAAGCTTGGTGGCGAAGTCAGTATCCCAAACCTTCGAAAACGAGGACGGGCTCAAAATCGCAAGGTGTCGAACTGGAGAAACACACACACACACACTCACCCNNCACACACACACAGACACACAGAGAGAGAGAGAGAGACAGAGACAGATCATGACAACTGCGTGTACCGATCTCTTTCGTTGCAGCTGAAGGTCTTCTTGCGAGTTTTCTACGATGGCTTTTGTTCGCTTTGTCAACCTACAAACCACGAAGCCACTGAACCACCACCTAGTCTTGCTCCGGTCCTCTTGACTTCGCTAGGGCTCTGTGTGTGTGTGTGTGTGTCTCTGTGTGTGTGTGTGTGTTTGTTTTTGTGTTTGTTCGTTCTACAACACTTTCGATTCGGTGCATTAGCAAGCAGTCTGTTGAAAGGCTTATACGGGGAGTATTGCAAGGACGACAGGGCCCATGCGCTGCCCCCGACTTCACGATGCCTTGAGGCCCCGAAGCCTCCCTATGCACGACTTCGACAGCAACCATCACTCTACGGTCATTCAACTTTGCATGACAGGGCATCACCTGCCCTTTCATGGCCCCGAAGCATGAAACCCTGAGACTCGAATCTATCCGGTCATAGCTTTGCGCTCCCAGGCAAAGGATGCCGGGGTCTCCAAAGGTTTTCGCAGCTTGCAGCTTTACCCTTAAGCCCTTAAACCCTATAAACCCTAAACCCTAAACCCTATAAACCCTAAACCCTAAACCCTATAAACCCTGAACCCCTGAAATCCTACACCCTAACCCTAAAGCTCGAATCCCCATCCTGAAGGCCTCAACCTGGCTCAACCGGAGCTATATCCGGCGCCTCAAGGGAGCCAAAATAGTGCGCCACCGCAAGCCTCACAGGACTTTGGGCCCGTGGCCTGTGGTCTAGGAGTCTAGCCCTTCAGCCTGCTTTAGATTTCCTAGCTTGGGTTTTTTTTCGGCAAGGTGCGATGGAGTCCCATCGCTCGGGTACCTTGGGTGTGTAATAAAGTCTGTCTGGGACTGCCGCGGCAGGCAGCAAAATCTCGTATTGGTTGATCGCTGAACTATGCTCTCCCCTTTTTTTGAACCCAGACTCTCCGTAAACCCTAAACCCTAGCCCTGGGCAGGGGCCAGCCGGAGCCTCCCACCCGTGATGCTCAGCTGTCGGACCAATCTCATTCCCCGACTTCTTCCGCATCGGATGCAAAGTGTTTAGTCTTTTGGGACCCATGGCAGCCTCGGGATTTGGGCTTGCGCGGCTTCAGGGGCATCACAATTGCAATTTTCATGGACAACCCCAGCCCCATTGGCCTTCCGCGAGGGTCGAATGCTAATCCGTTTGGATACCTTGGAAGAACCGGCTTCTGGTTTCTTGAGGCCTTCTGTTTCGGCTTTCAGGGTTCCGAGCAAAGGGTTTGGCCGGATTGAAATAAGCTCCACAACTTAGGATTGAAGGCTTTTGGGCTTGAGGGTCATGGGGCTTGGCGATCCTTTTTGGTGTCGGCTTCCACGCTTCAGAGGATCAAGTCGTAGGACTTGTAGAACTCGGCGTATACAGGCTTAGCGACTAGAGTCAAGGTCGAACTGTAGCCTCAGACCACGGGCTCCTGGAAGTGGAGCTAAACGGCCCCGCGCCCCGGGGCCATGGTGTAGGAATGGATGTATGCACATGGCGCTGAGTGCAGAATACTGAGACGTTGGCTTGTCGGGGGCCATACGGCTGCAGACGTCCGTGGCCAAGGCACTGGTCGCTTCGCAGGGCATACTCTGGCTTCTCAATCCGTGCGTAGTTCCGCGATGGCTCCTGGAGCCACGTTCGGGGCCAAACCACAGAGAGTGAGGGCGATGGGATGGAGATGGATGGAGATGGAAGGAAATGGATGGAGATGGATGGAGACGGCTGGAAACGGATTGATGGATTAATGGATGGATGGATGGATGGATGGATGGATGCAGGGAGGGAGGGAGGGAGGGAGGGAGGGAGGGAGGGAGGCGTGCACGGATGCATGCCTGGATGTGCAAGTAAGTATGTGAGTGAGTATGTACGCATGTATGCATGCAAGTATGTATGCTTGCATGCACGCATGCATGTAGGATTATGTAGGTGTGTGTGTGTGCATATGTGCGTGTATGTATGCATGTATGAATGTTGCTATGCATGTACCCATGTCAGCACGCACGCGTGCAATCGTGATGCATGCAAGTATGAGGTACGTGTGCAGGCAGGCAGATCGTGTACATCCACAAACTCACAAAAGTACCCCGTACTTTTGTGCCAATTACACAGTCAATACTGGGAACTCGGGCGGCTGACATAGAGTTCTGCCCTATGTGCGATATGTTTGAAACTGCAAAGAAAAGTTGCCTGGCTCTAACAAGCCCGAAACGATGGAATCCCTCGTCTGAGGACCGCTCAACTTTCCGCTTCGCTGAACAGTAAACCCAGGCTCACTCACCCCCCCAAGCCCTAAGCCCAATATCCCAAACCCCGCTCTCCACCTAAAGCCCGACCCCGCATACGAAAGCACTCTGAGACTCTCCTTCATGAGGATCAACACGCTGCCGTCCATGATGCCCAGCTCCGCCAGTGTCAGTGTGGCGCTGGCTGTCCAACCCAGAGGCGTGCCATTGAAAAGTAAACGGAAGGCGCACCTGGAACTTGAAGGCTTAAACACAATTGGGCGTTTGGAGTTTGCGGTTTAAGCGCAGTTTGATTTCTGGCATAATGTAGACCCATGGTTAAGATACCCCCGTTCTTCCTTTCAGCGCCTGAGTTTTGAGATCCTTATCATAATCCTATCTAAGATAGGGGATGCGGGCTCCAGGCTCTGCATTACTACGGCCTCAACTGTAAGGCCCCACGGTGATAGTTTCGGAGGTAGTCCGAGTTGAAAGAAGTAGCACTTAGGGCTTTGGGAGTTAGCATCAGGGCGACCCTGGGGATATAGACCCTCTGAACAAGGCCTCTCTTAAGAGAGCAGGGAGCAGGGTCTCCCGCAAAACTACCGAGGAGGCTTGGGGCTTGAGGGTTTATGCCTCGGAGTTTCGGGCTTTAGGGGTGTAGGGGATCCAGAGTCTACGGGGCTTCCATTGTTGGCCTTTAGGGTACAAGGCTTGAGGGTTTTTGGGGCTTTGGGTAAGGCCCTTCCGGAAGTTGCGCATTTCGGCCTTGCAAGACTAACGTTGGCACAGGCCTGTGAAATCTGCAGAATCACCTGGCAACAGGACGAGCTTGAATAATGAGCCTTTAATTAAACCTCTAAAACCTTCTCACACAGGGCGTTGTCCTAATGCAACCCACTCGAAGATCCTACCTACTCCTGCAGCGCATCAAGCTCAGGAAGGAGCTGGCCAACGGTGCTTGACGTCTCGACCTCCTTTCGCAGGTCTTGCAGCGTCGCATCCTCGATTTTTTGGTTCTGGGCTTCGTTTTCAAGCATTGGGTGTAGAGTTTCAGCGCTCACTCTCGGACATGCCTAGGCCTAGGGCCTAGAGTTCAGGGGTTTCGGATTAGGGGCTTCGGGTCGCAGGGGATCATGGTTGTCCAGTCTCAGGCCTTCGAGTTTCGGCTTCTGGCGGTGTAGTGAAGGACTGGTGTTTTAAGGTTTGGGCTCAAGGCCCTTGTACATGCGGAGTTGCTCTGAATATGGGAAGAACGCCTTTAGGCCTCAGGCTTCCGTGCACAGACGCTGAGGCACAAGAAAAACGCCCCTGGGTGTGTCGGGGAGCTCCTTGCAGTTAGGCCTAGCGGCCCTTAGCACCCCCTCTGAGCTTTAGATGCAAACCGGTCTGAGAAGTGAAGTCGAGTCCTCCCCCCTCGGCCTCGGCAAGCGAGTCTTGTTCATCTGCGAGTGCTAACACTAATAATGGTGGTGGCGATGAGGGTGAACATGAAAAATGAAGGTGCTGAATAGGGATGATGATGATGATCCGGATGATCGTGATGAGGATGATGATGGTGACCGTGAACGTTGAAGTGGATGCCTGCGGAGCAGATGTTAGAGTTCACCGCAATTCATTATCATCATCCGCAGTATCACCATGATCATCAGCGAAACTTGCAGACATCGCAGTGTGCAGGTCGGAAGATACTTTAGGTGGGTAGGTAGGTAGGTAGGTAGGTAGGTAGGTAGGTAGGTAAACCCAAATTCACACATCACACATGCCTTCCAAAAACCCCCGATCCAACCCGAAGCCCAAATCCGCTTTTCGGTCCAAGCTGCGGTCGGGAGGTGAACCTCTGACTCCTCTCCACTCCTGACTTTGCGGAACGAGTTTGAGGCGTGTGAGGATCGCCCTCTGCTGCTTCGAGATGGCGGGTGTTTCGCTATGGATTCAGGGGTGACATACCTTGTTCATTTCCCACCCGCTTCGCGAGTTGTAGGCTTTTGCCCGGACGGTCCGGGTTAGAGGCTCGCCTTATCTGGTACCACGCAGCGCTTTTATCGGAGCTACGCAGTTTTACTGGCCGCGGTGCATGATGACTTGAACACGCGGCCGTCATATGAATGTCACTTACTAGAACTTCGGCGCTACCACTGGAACCGGCACGTTCACGGCCACCACAAGAATTGCTTCTGTCGTGGCTAGCTCGCACTCCTTCCACTTCTGCCGATTTCGACAACATCTACCGCTGTTGCTGCTATTCTAGTGCCTACATGGCAGTCCCGAAGGTCTACATGGCAGGTGTTCCGTCACATTCGTGACAGGCGATCAAAAATTTAAAAGAAAAAGTCTTACACGGGAAAGAAGCAGCTGACACATTCTTAGTGCGTAAGATCGGCGTACGAGGCTTCGCCTTCGTCTGTGGGTTCGCAACACCAGCCAATTAGACCTAAAACATTGTTGAAACTTTTACACCTTGACAAACTAAACCAAACAAGAGGACCAATCTTCCGGAAGCAGCGCAAGCTTATGCAGGTGCGGGACCTATGCCAGCACTTTCGGTCGCGAGCACTGAGAGGAATGCCGAATTGTGAGGCCACTGGACCGTACCAAGCTTTGGGTCTCTTAATGGGGAACGGGA